CTGACCTGTCACATTACATTCAGCCTTGCTGTTCTTTGGTGTAGGTCCTGGTGATGCGTCTCCAGATGAAGGAGTTGTAGAAGATCTGCCTTTAATCGATGAGAAAGCTGTGGAGCAGCTGACTGAAGGATTGATTTCCCACTATCTGCCTGATCTTCAGCGATCAAAATCAGCACTGCAGGAACTTACGTAAGCAGATTTTTGGAACCAGCTTCATACTTGGTTTGCTGCTCTTTTCAATATAATGTGCCAGCTCCCTTTAACTGGAGGTTAGTTTATCAGCATTTCTGTATCCTGACTAGAGCAGCCTGAATAATGCAGATCTGTGGGAGTAGCAGGGGGTGTGTAAGCTGCAGTGCAGCCTGTGAGCACTATGGCTGAAGAAGTGTAACACTAGAAGAGTAAAATCCCCTAAGCCAGGCAGAACAGAAGACCTAGATTTCTTAAATGATTATTCACTTCTGTAGTGGAAAAGTGTGCTATAAGCTGGATTGATTTTGGTTGGAGACATGCAGTTTGTATTCAGGGAAGCTTGTAGTGAGATATATTATTTATTATTCAGTCTCTAAACCATATTGCAAAACACTTGAAAAATACAAGTAGGGAGCTAAACAGATAAGAGTTCTTTGTACACTGATGTGCTCTTGGGAAGTGTGTATTGATACTGTTTTGATTAAAAGTCTATTTAAAGGGCTGGTTGAAAAGCAAATGTGGTGCTGTACTTTGGGTTTATGCATCTTTTTTTTTTTTTGTTTTAGACAGAACCAAGTGGTACTGCTAGAAACATTAGAACAAGAAATTTCAAAATTCAAAGAGTGTAACTCCATCGTTGATATCAATGCTTTGGTAAGTATCAGGTAATGCCCTTTAAATTCTAGATTAGCATAGATTTTCTTGCTGAAGCATTCCTAGCAACTTGTGTCTTTTCCTTTCTCTTAATGACCTACAGAAAGAAAACCAGCTCAGATATTAGGGACAAACTGGAGAGAGTGGAAAGCAGCATGTTTCCCTTAAATAGGAAGGGCAGTGGGAAGATCCAGGCTCAGGCAGGCAGCATTGGTGGCACTGGCTGTTCATAGGAAGCAGCCAAAGCAAATGTACACATTTTTTCAGTAGGATTGAGATTCCACCATGGGCTCTGTGCACCTCCCCAGACTAGCAGGAATGGTGCATGAAATTGTAATATTTTTGTTCTTTTTCATGAATCTTAACTCAGTAGATTACTGTGTGCAAGTGTTGAGATGTAGTAGTTTTCTATATTAATATATGTGATATGTAAATTTTATATATAAACTTGAACATGTTTGTTCCATTATAAAACTGTTCTGGTAATCACTGTTTTTGATTGCTATTTTACTGTGTAGCTTTAGAAAACAACTGTTCTAACTTGACAGTCAATGCTTTAACAGTTATTATGGTTTTTAAGTTTTCGGAAGCTAAACACTATCACAACAAGTTAGTGAATATTAGAAATGAAATGATGATGCTGCATGAGAAGACATCAAAGTTAAAAGTAAGTGGGATAAATATCTTCACTTTCCAATACAGATACTTACTTACAGATACTTAACTTTTATTTTGGATGCATGCTGAAAATTCTGATTAAAATATAATTTTATCTTAAAATTATGTTTTCAGTAGCTCCAAGCCATGTATGTTTTTGACCTTTCACTTGCTCCTAATGATGCTCAAGCATCTTACACATCTGAACTACTCTTTCAGTGTAATCTTCATGTTTAGGTGGTGTAAGAATCATGCCTTGTTCTGTTGCTGTAGTCCACTCCATTCCAAGCAGTTCTCTTTGTTGTTTCAGTTTCATTTCAATGGAAACTAGATTGTCACCAATGTAAGAATTTCTCCTTTTGTTTAATGTACTATGAACAGTGGCATAAGTTCACTGGTTTCATGCTCTATAGACAGCCTGGTTACATTCTGGCAAGATTAGTCCGTGTGTTCAACAAGAGAATTTTTTCTTGGAGGCAGTAAATTGCATGGTAAGAACTTTTTCAGGTATACCCAAAGGGTGACTTTTAGTGAGACTGAAGGGCTCCAGTTTGTGTTTTCCCAGTGTGGATCACAAACTTCCCATTTCTGAACAGTAAGCTGAAAGTGGGAGGGATGAAGCAAAAAGGAACAGTTTATGCTACATTCAATCATAAGGAGGGTGTGTTGGAGCGAGGCACAATGGGAGGGATTTTGTTTGTTGCTTCAAATTAAATATATCTGTAAAACTTACAGTTATTTTCTTGTCTTTTCTGTTTAGAAAAGGGCACTTAAGCTGCAACAAAAGAGGCAGAAGGAAGAGTTGGAACGGGAGCAGCAACGTGAAAAGGAACTTGAAAGAGAGAAACAGTTAACAGCAAAACCTGCAAAGAGGACCTGAAAACAGAGCATGCAACAACTTGTCTGAATTAATGATTTCTACATTCACTGGAATTAAGGCAGACTTTGCTTAAATGGGGCTACAGCTGTTGCTAGCAACAGTCTACTCTCTGGTATTATAAATTCCAGAATGGTAATAATAGAGTTGGTAACATTCACGTTTTTTAATTTCAGCCATTCAAGTTGCCTTCTTTTGTAATGCTATGCAGTTTGATATTATAACGTAAGTTAATTTTTATATATATGTATATAGGAGAACTAGGCATCACAGTTTTAAGTATCTATCCATTTTTGTTGTCGTCTGTTCTTTTGGTGTTTAGAATTCTGAGAGATTTGATGGCTGGCACATTTTTTTCAGACAAAATGCAGAGAACTTTTTAAAGTTCAGTTGTCACACCAGACTTCAGCAGCTGCATTTTCACTGAAACTGCTTTGTTTCATGCAGTTGGGATCTGTCTTTGATCATAAATACTGATTTCTTGTGCAGCCTCAGTTTGATTCATCTCTAAAGAACTGAGGAAAATAGCAGTGTATTTTCTTAAAAGTTCACTTCATTGCATAAATCTTTTTTTTCTTTTTTTTTTTTGTCGTCAAGTAACTTTAGAACATCTTTAAGGTAACTTCTGAATAAGTTCCTAAGTTCCCAGCTGAAATGATTGGGAGGGGAGAAGCAGAACACTAAAGATTGTCATAATTGATGTGTGCACTATGCAAAGATTTCTGAATTTGTGCTTTCACAAACATTTAAGTCAAACCAGGAAACTTTTGCTTCTCTAATGGTTTATTAGGAAGACTTGTGTGGTCTAAGCATATTTTTGTGGGATTAGAAGTTTTAATTTCTTTATCTTGTGTGACAAAATAAAACATAAACAAAACTAAACTTTTCCACTTCATGTGAAATTCAGCCACTTGTGGGAAAACTACTGCATTTAGTGTTTTTTCCTTAACAAATGAATCATTTGCACTTCAGGGCTATCTAAGAGATTTTTTTAAGAGTCCTCACCCAGAATGATGATCATATTAGTGTCTATTGATGAGAAATTTGGAATGGAGGTTGATACCCATTTCTCTGAATGTAATTCCTATCTTGCAGCACTTGGTGTGGACTCCCATTCAAATGAATGTACAAATTGTCTAGACTAGTGAAAGAGCTTTAAATTATTTGTTCCTACAGGCTAACAAACTAGTTATTTTATAACTGTGTTTCTTTTCAAGTATATCTATGTTTCTTCTTAAGTAATAATGTAAATTATGTGTTTTGAAGTGAGATAAAGGGTAAGCTATGTAAAGTTTTCCTTAAAATATGTATAGCAATGTCTTACAGGGGCACAGTCAATTTTATTTTCCTTCTGTTTTAGATGACTCACACAGTGTGCACCTGCCTGGACTTTCTGTACTATCATTTTCTGAACTCCTAATTTCCTGTTCTTAATGTTTGTTATCTTCTTCTGTGAAAGACATACTCTAACAAGTACCCAGGCATCATGCAAGGTAAACTGGGTTAATGTTTTGGGACAAAGAGAACAAACTGAAATGCTATTAGTGAAGCAGTATTAGATTAAAACTTTCCCCAGGTATTTTTCCCTGAAGTTGACTCATGGCTGTTAATTGCCAGTGGATTGTTGGCCTCTGCTGTGGTTTGTATGTATTTCTAAGAGAAATGTAAAGAATTTCCACAGTCCAGTTTTTGGAGCAGAATGTACATAACTAAATGTTGTCTAAGTATTTTATTTTGTAATGTAATTTCACAAGCAAATTCTGGGAATTAAAATTGTTCTCATTAAACTATAACATGAAAGTGGATGCCTCAGTATCCAAATCAGGATTGAATTCCTTTGATATTTCTTGATTTGTATGCCCTCGTAGAATCCACTTTACTGTATCAAGTCATATTCTCTCTCTCTCTGTCAAGAACTGTGTGGTTTTTTCCGAAGAACTGTGGGGTTTTTTAGTTTTTTCAGTTTTCTTTTGTTTCAAAAAAATCGTTAATTTAATTAAAACTAGAGAATTCTAAGAAATTCATAGAAATTGATACTTTTGAAATTTGGTACATTTCAGCATTTGGATAATTTCCAGTCAAAGGAGTAAAAGCTGACAGTGCTTACTTGAGGAATCACATGCACGTACATAAAAATGAGATAGATTAATTTTCCCATAAAAGCATGGTAAGATCTGGGTTTTCTATGAATAAGGACCTAATTTTATTAAATGACCTTTCTGTAATAAAGGGGGAAAATTAATAAAAATGTATAGGATGAAGTTTGTTCCATTTACATAACTTCCATTAATGTGTTCCTAAATTACTTCAGTGAAAACTATAATTCATTATAGTTTGTTCTATAGTTTGTTCTACATCTATAGGATGTTCTACCAAATACTCTTGTAAGTCTTAATGCATAAAAGTAAATGCTGCATTGGATGAAATTAACAATACTGACGTGTAAAAATATGTGCTTGCATCATCATGCACAGCCTGAGTGAGCAGTTCTGTTGCTGTGTACACTCAGTCATGCTTGATTTTTTAAAAAGTTCCTTATGGAGTAGATAAATGTGGTAGTCCAGGGTTAGGGTTAGGCAGTGTGTGCCCAGCCCTCACAGCAGCTCCCACCCTCTCATCCTGCCTGGACTTTGGAAAGGTTGAGGCAGTGCTTGTTCCCTACGGCTGCTGGAGGCCTCTGTGCTGCAGGTGAGGAGTTTCATCATGTTTGCTTTGTGAGTTTCTGAATTATGGAATTCATCTGAGTAATTTTTAAAATTTAAACTGCAGGCTATATCTGTAAGCAGTCTATGGGGAAATATGCATGGGAGCTTAAAGAAAATACTGCAATGTTTAAAGGCAGTCTTAAAAATACATGTTTAAAAAAACAGGCCAACAATTTTCTCATGAACAGAGATGAGGATCAACCTCTTAGAACAAAAAATGTGGAAAAAAGGCTGCACTATGATTATACAAAGGCAGCTGGAAACAGGAAGTTGAGAAACTCATAAAAATTATAAAATGGTCAGTTTGGGTGTTTTAAAGGGTAGAACTATAAACTCTGGGGCTTTTTTCTCTTTAGAGAAGTCTCTGTATTAACAAAAGGTCTGATCTCTATGACACCCTTTAAAAAGTACTGATTTGTGTCTTCTTTCAGTACATTTTCTGTCCAGTGAAACCCAGGAACTCTGGGTGTTAGCAGCTTTGAAAAGAGAGCCTTTGCCTATCACTGGGGGATGCACTCCATCAGAGCTCATTTATTATTAATTATTGATCTGATCTAGTAAGTGTTTTGGTGTTATTTTACTAAGCTTAGTAATTTTGCTGGTTTTCTATGTCTATGGAAAAGGGCTCCTAGATTATAGCTTAGGGCTGGCGCTCTCAGGTAAGAGAAAGAGATATTGAAGTATCATTGCTCCCTCCATGAAAGTTGAGCTATTGCAGTATCCGTGTTCCCCCCATGGCCGGTACTGTATTAGCGGTGATTCTGCTGTCGGTAACGGCGATGTGAGTGACCCGTCCCGTGCCGTGCCGTGTATGTCCGGGTGGGAGTGCGCTGCTGCCTGGGACGGAGGCCAATGCCCAATGCACGGCTGGGTTACCGGGGATTGGCAGGGGGCCAGGTTAGGGCTGGAGTTTCAAAACTTCGGGAAGCACGGGGTTGGAGCTGCGGGTGCCACCGGTACCTGCCCCGAGCGGAACGCCCGGCTCGGCCGCTCGCGGGGGTTCCGCGACCACCACCGGCTGCGCCACCCGGCCCGGCCCTGCCCTTCCCGGCCGGACCGCGGCCTTTGCCCGCCGCTGGGCAGCACCCGGAGCCCCGAGCTCCGCCCCGCCGCTCCCGGCACCGGCGCCGATCGCACACGGCCGACGGCGCGGTCCGTGCCCGCCCTGCTCGGCGCAAGGAGCGGTGAGTGCGGAGCGGGGAGCGGGCCCGGGGGGTCCGGGCTGCCGTGAGAGAGCGCGGCTGTCGGCTTGGGCCGAGCCGGGAGGCGGCGGGGGCCGTGCCGGTGGGCAGCCTGCGGGGAGCCTGCGGGCCGCAGCGGCCTCGCCCAGCGCGGAGCGGGTCGTGCCCCGGCCCCGGGGTCAGCGCCCTGCTCCCCCGCCGGGCCGGGTGCCTCCGCCGCGGGGCTGCGGAGCAGCAGCGGCCGCTGTGACCGCGGCTGAGGGGCTCGCAGGTCTGGAGCCGGCCGGGAGCTGCCCCCGAGCTCGCACACGTGCATGGGTGGAGTCACTGCTGATCTGGGCTATCTGCTAAAGAATAGTTGCAATGATCTGTACTTCTTGTCAGTAGGACTTGTCTAACTTTATTTGTTCCAACTTCCTTCAATAAACTGGTCCGATAAAGTGGGCAGTCTGAGCAGCTTAGCATACGGTAGGTGCCCTGGAGAGGCAGAAATTGCAGTTGTACTGAGCAAGAACTCTGCAGGAACTGCCGTGCTTGGGTGACGTGTTTGTTTAGGCTCTAGTTGAGATACTGAGGTACTGAGCTCTCCTGCTCAGCCTTAACTATGATTTCTTTAAAGTGCCTTTTCTTCATTATTAAACACACTTATTCTAAAAACATGCAAATAGCCTTAGAGTGAAAGGTAAAAGAGATCTATAAATGGAAGTGCACATTTTTAAATTGCTGTCTGCGCAGATGATAAACAGCCTTCTTAAGTTAAACTAACTTCCCGTGGATTTGGGTGTTTTGTTCTGAATGGGTAGGGGATGAGAAGAAAATATTTGCATCATGTTTTGCATCTGCAAAACAAAATTAGTAACATTTGTTTTACAGTGGAAGCCTCTGAGATTTTTTCCCTCTGTGTCCTAAATTGTAACTATAAGGATTAATAACGGGGCATATATTATAAAGAATTCATGATACGCAGACATGAGGGATGTCAAGATAGCACATAAAGGTGCAGAATGAGTTGCTGAACTACATCTAGTGTAGTGGAGAAGTTTTGAAGCTGACATTGGCAGATTTTCTTGAAAATATTTTAGGTTTCAGGTGTAATTTTGAAATTCCAGTCTGTAAGTAACATAAATGAGTAAATAAATGAAAAAGCTGTAATTCTTGCCTGATGACTTGAAGAATTTATTATTATAATTTTTGCCTTGAAAACTAACCCAGGCATTTAAATAGATATCAGTTCTGTCTCCTGTAATTGTTACTGGTGCCTTTCCTTATCTCCTAGCTTCCCACTTAATGAAAGATGTCAGCAGTTGGAGCAGTGTTCTCCTGCTCCTGTCTCCGTTCTGGTTTGTGGCTGCTGAAACCAGGAATGCAGCAGATGAGCTCCTTACACACAGCAGCCAGGTGTGCTGTCAGGGATTATTATGAAGTTCTTGTGTTGGGCGGAGGCGCTGGTGGCATCTCCATGAGTGCTCGCATGAAGAGGAGAGTGGGGGCAGAAAATGTGGCTGTTGTTGAGCCAAGTAAGGTGAGTGTCCCTCTGCTCTGAAGCACTGTAAAGAATAAGCATTTTACATGTGACCAGATGGGTCTGATTCTCATCCCTCTCCAGCCCTACAAGTTTTTAACTCTGGCAAGTAAGCCAACTAACCATCTTTCAAAAGATTATATATTACACTTTCTTTTTTGTGAGATTTGTGCATCCCTGCAGCTTTGGAATGGAAAAATCTTGGTTGTTCATACAGCTTCTTTTGTTAAGAATTGTACAATGTTTAGAGCACATTGCTCCCATTTGGAGTGATGTGCCTTTAAGTCCCTTTTAACAGTTTTGAAATGTCCATTTGAACTTTTGTTTCAGACTCATTACTATCAGCCCCTGTGGACCCTGGTTGGTGGTGGTGCAAAGCAGCTGGCAGCTTCTGCACGTCCCACGGAAAGTCTAATTCCTTCAGGTGTTGAGTGGATCAAATCTCAAGTTACAGCATTGAATCCAGATAAGAACTATGTCTGTCTGGAGGATGACATCAAGGTAATAATGAATTTTTTTTTTTTTTATTTTATGTCATGAGTTCTGTCCCTTTCCTGCAGATTCCCTTAGAACTGCCTATTGAGCAAGGCCTCCAGCATCTAGGAGGCTGGCAAATTCCAATTAGTCTTATATACTTGATCCTAAAATCTTTTTCTAATAAAAACTGTGGTAGATAACTAGGTTAGAATAACATCAACTTAAAATACTATTATCATAAGCCTTTGCCCTGTTTATGGTGAACTGAAGAGAGAGAATATTTTTGCTCCAGATACCTGGATCTGTGTATAACAGAGGCTGTGTGAGTAACTCATAATGCAGTTAGCATTTTAACTAGAATTTTTAGAGCCTAATTTATGCTACTGATGCTCCCTGTATCTCCTTCCTTGTGACTCTGTTGCTGTCAGGTAACTGAAATTTACTTTGATGTAATGCTTTGGTTTCTTTGTCTAAAATTCTTTTTATTCTTTACACAACAGGTATCTTACAAGTATCTGATAATTGCTCTTGGAATTAGTCTGCATTATGAAAAGGTATTTGTTTTACAGAATCATATATTTACTAATATTAATAGCATCATGTACATTCATAAAAGTAAATGGCTTTTCAGAACTGTTTATACTGCAAGGTATTTGAATACTATGAATTAGAGCTAGAAGGCAGACTAATGTCTTTACTCCTTCCACAGATCCCTGTGTAATAATCCAAATTACCCTTGGGAAAGCCTTTTGTGACAACTTTGTTGCGTCTCTGTAGCAATATCAGCAGATGGGGCAGTAAGCTAAATCCAGAGCTTTAAGGCCGCTGTAATAATGAGATAATAAGGTGTGCTGACTGGAATCTGAGGCATCTCTGATGTACACAGAATGAGGAAAACAGAGCAGTCAGTAGAATCTGACCTGCAGAATTAGTTTGAGCTACCCTCACCTTTCTTAAAGGATGCACTTCAGAAGGAGCCAGCTGAGGTCCCAGGCTTGTGTTTAAATAGGCCCTGGGGCCCTTCCCTTTGAAAGGTTTCCTGTACACTGCACACAGTGACACTCTGAGGAAAATGTTGGTGCAAGAATGACCACAGTGATATGTAGGAGGAGGAAAACACAAAGGCAAGATGTCTGAGCAATTTGACTCTTGTGGTTTTACCCTGACCTGAATATGATGTAGTACCTGACAATATATTTAAGTATCTGTTTGAAAAGCTTTCAAGATATATGTCAAGCAAGAGCTGGTCTCAGTTAGCTACAGTCACAAATAAGCTCTGGTGATTAGGTCAGTGGAATGAGGAGTTGCAGCATGTTCAGTGACCCTCCTCTCAGTCTTCATATCCGTTGGTTCAGTACGAGCTGATAAAAATAAATTCAGTGTTCACTAGTAGAAGCCATGTAACGCAGTTAATCACACTCTAATGCAAACTCATAGTAACTTTAAAACAAAAGTAGACTCTTGAAAAAGGGGGATGGTTTCTCTTCACCAGCAGTGTATTCTGGTGCAGACTGGAAAGCCCCAAACACATGGCAGTGCATGTAACATGACTCCATATTTTCACAGAATTTCTGCAATCCATTGTGTTGAAATGGGTACCACTTCCTTTCTCACAATCACATGCTCAGGTCACAGTAGGAGTATTAGGGAAATAATTACTGGATGGAGATTGGTTAAAACAAAATGATCCTAGGCAAATACAGGTATCTGCAACTGACTACAGAAAAGTTTTATTCATCCCATACATTTTCATAAGGCTTTTTTTTAACACTATTTTTACTTGTGATGATGGGGCAGTGACTTTATATATTCTTACTCTGAATTTCAGTCAACAAAAACTTGGGACTGGGTCTGCACTGAAGACTTAGGCTCAGATGTTGCAGACCAATTTCACTAAATGTACATCTACAAAATCATATACTAAATTCTAAAGGAAATAACTGTTTTATTGCTAGGCCTATTTTTAAAAATACCAAGTATCAAGTAAGTATGGACTTTCCTATTGATAGAAACTTCTTATGTAGTTATTTCTCAGTCTGTATTTAATACTTGTCAATGATGACAAAACTTCTGCCATCCGTACTTGAAACCTTGATTTCTCTTTTTCTAGATCAAAGGCTTGCCTGAAGGTTTTAAACACCCTAAAATAGGTTCCAATTATTCAGTCCAGACAGTAGAGAAAACATGGAGAGCTTTACAAGATTTTAAAGAAGGAAATGCTATCTTCACTTTTCCAAATACTCCAGTGAAATGTGCAGGGGCTCCTCAGAAGATTATGTATTTAGCAGATGCATATCTGAGAAAAGTAAGTCTTTTACCCTCTCTGCCAGTGCTTTTCCTCACAGTTGGAAGGAAGGCTTGTTCTAAGGGTTTCATATTATCTTTAAAACAAATATAAAAGACATGAGAGTGCTGTGACTCAGGATTATTGAAGTGACTGAGTTGGTTTTTCATTTTTAATATGTAAGGAATGCAGGTAAATGGATTGTACATAAATATTTAGCAAATATTTAATACCAGAGAAACTTGTAGAATTCAGAAATTCAGTTCAGAATTTCATAATGAAATAATGGCTTGCCCTGCATCTGGTGAGCAGCAGATACAACTGTTCTCAGCCTAATTTATTACTATAAATGGTGCAGCAAAAGAATGCTGGCTGGAATTACATCATTCTTGTTACTTTAAGTACTTCATACCTGTTGCCATTTGTCTACTAGTCTGAAAAATGGCTATGCTTGTTCCTTGGGGTGCATTGTCTCAGCATCAGGAGGAGTCTTAGCCAGGCTGTTAAAGCAAGCTTAGTGGAAGCAAAAGACAACTTCAGCTTCATATGTGTTTAAGTTTCATGAGCTACCTGGCTGGATGAGTACCTGAATTATGCACAGAAGTGAAGATTTTTGAAAGCTTTTTAACACTAAACTGCTTCAAGAATTTAACCTGCATACAGCAGTTCCTCAGTGCTTTGCAGCCACTTCTCACGAGTTGTTTGTGTGAGGTATCTTCAGTACCTCATGCTGAAAGAGTCTACCTTCTAACATGCTGTGAAATATTAATTAAACATTCATTAATAATTGAACTGCATGAATAGTTCTATCAGCTCTTTAGTAGTGCAGCACAGTTCTTTTGTCTCTTCTTGTCACAGTTTCTTAATAGAAAAGGCTAATTGGATCTCCTCCTGCAGACAGGAAAACGTTCCAAAGCAAACATCATATTCAACACCTCACTTGGTGTGATTTTTGGTGTTAAGAAATATGCTGATGCATTGCTTGAAATAATAAAGGACAAGAACATTGTTGTTAACTACAAGCGCAACCTCATCGAAGTTCGAGCAGACAAGCAAGAAGCTGTGTTTGAAAAGTTGGACATACCTGGAGAGACTGAAATTTTTCAGGTCAGCTTTCAGACCCTTCATTTGGTTCTATTTCTTTTCCTTGTGTATGGCAAAGTAACTTTTACATTGTTAGAACACAGTCTGCCTCATTGTGCATTGCTGTTCCCCCTGAGAGTACTATCTCTAACTTTAGCAGAATATTAAAAATTTTGAAACCAAGGTGGAGAGAAGAAAAAATGTCTCATAAATAATGCCTGAAGTCCTGTATGCCATGGGAATGTCTCAGGTGTGTATGGAGGAAGGCAAATTGCTTCCAAATGGAGTTGCTTGATAAGGTTTATGTTAATTAAAGGATGCACTTGAAATTTGAGGGCAGATTTTCATTCTATATACTTGTGTTTAAAAAACCAAAACAAACACAAACCCAAGAAACCCTCTCTCCACGCTCTGTTTATTGCCTTATACCAACAGGTAGTTTGTTCTGATGAACTAACCATTGTCTTTTCTTTCTGTTCAGTATGAAATGCTTCATGTCACACCCCCAATGGGGCCACCTGCTGTACTCATCGACAGTCCTGTCTCTGATGCAAGTGGCTGGGTGGATGTGGATAAGGAGACTCTACAACATAAAAAATATCCTAATGTCTTTGGTATTGGAGACTGCACCAACCTTCCAACATCAAAAACTGCTGCAGCTGTAGGTAAAGTGGCATGTGTATGTTTGTGTGTATAAGTGCCCACAGCGGAGTCAGTAAGCTTTTTGTTTAGTTTGCTATTCCTGAGGTCATGACTTCAATTTTGAGCTTTCCAAAAGACCAGAGGCTCCTGGGCCAACTGGCTACCTACATACCATGTTGATGCCACTAACCCAACAATTCTGTTGTTCAGATGCCTCACAGATTAACTAATTCTACTTTTTGTGTTCATAGAATGTCACATAATGAATGACGTGTTCTTGTATTACATCATCATTCAGTAATGGCCCATTCTGCTTTATCTTAGCTCCTCATGCATTTGCCACCTAACTGATAAGTCACTATCAAAAAGTCACATGTTCTGGCCTTGTAGCCACAGGTTCCACAATTAAAACACTTTAAGTGTATGGTCTCACAACTGATAAAATCCAAATAAGAGTAGAAAAAACCCCAGGCTATACAGTATGTTCTTGATGTAATCAAAGGGTGGGATACTTAACTTCAGTAAATGGGTCTACAGTTACAGCACTCAAAATGAAACACAACTTCAGTGTGCCAGAATGTCAGTGTTTGATAAGACTGAGCAAGTATAATTTATCATAGCAGAATGAGCATAGGCTAAAAATATCAGCTCAAGTTTCATTAAGCTTTAACATGTTTGAAACAGTGAGGCCAAAGCATTAGTCCTTTTTTTTTTTATCTGGGACAGTAAATTTACATGTAATTTCAATTGCAGCTGAATTGTCCAACAAAATGCCTGGCTAATACTGTTTGCTTTAGTAATGACAATTGTTGGCTGAAATAGTACATTTCTATTTCTTTCTTATTTAGCTGCACAGTCCGGAGTCCTTGACAAAACCATTTCTCTGGTAATGAAGAACAAGTTGCCAGTTAAAAAGGTACTTACAGTTCTTGTCTTAGGGAGAAATTCTCTTGAATGTTTTCTCCCTTATGCAGGAAGTCTTGCAAACAGCTGAGTGTGTGAACCAGAAGGCAGGGAAGGCTTTGCCTCCCTAGTTGTGCTAAATGGTTACTTGCTGCATGTCAGAGTAGTAATGGAATTGCACAGTACATCATACTGCCATTGAAAGTATTACCTCCTTGAAGCCCTGACTTCTGAGTTGAGAGAAGGTTAGAGGCTGATTAGTCAGGGTTTTCATCAGTGCAAGTGATTTACTTACACTGTTGAGGTAATACCTGCTCCAGAAAAACTCTTGCAAACTTGTTTCTCCTGTGAGGATATGATCTTCTAAGGAGGTAAACTGAAGCTTCTGTACGACAGCTGTTAAGCCTAAATTATGTTCAAATTTGTCCTTGAGCCTTTACTTTTATTTTACACATGGCTTCCTTGGGGGCACTAACCTGAATATCCTGAGAACTTCTCTGGAAGTTCTCACTGCAGTTCCCATTGCCTTGTTGAAGCAAACACCAGCTCTCACCCAGATCTGCTGGTCACCAGTTCCACTGGTTACACTGACCAGCCATTAATGACATTATGCCCTGTTTTGTTCTAGGTTATGTCTAATTTAAGCAACGTTAAGCAGATCTAAATTTGAAAGAGTGGCTTAATATTACGGGTAATAAACCAGAACAGGCTTAGCAGCTTTCCAGTTTCACTGATATTTACACTGGAAATGCTGAAACCTCCTAGAAAGTTATTTTGAAATGTGAATGTTAACCATGGCCTTTAGGCTTTGGTCAGAATAATGAGCAGTGGGTATATTTCATTGCAGTATGATGGATACACATCCTGCCCACTAGTGACAGCCTACAACAAGGTGATTCTGGCAGAGTTTGACTACAATGGTCAGCCTTTGGAGACCTTTCCCATTGACCAGAGTAAGGAGAGAACCACCATGTACCACATGAAAGCTGATATGATGCCTCTGCTCTATTGGAATGCACTACTTAAGTAAGTATTGAAAAAAACCCCAATCAGGTATAGACACCTGTCCTGGTTTAGTTCCTTGCTGGAATACAAGCTAAGTACATCCTCAGTTGTGATCAGAGCAACACTCTAATGCTCATCTCTTCACAGTACAGTATCTTATAAGAAAAAAACCCTTTCCCCAGGCCCTACTTTGATAGTATGTGAAAGAACTTTCTGTTTCCAGGGGATACTGGGGAGGACCAGCTCCTGTCAGGAAGATGATGCATCTGAGCTTGAAGTAACTGCTGCTTCTCAGCATTGGTCAAAACTTTCCAAAGAAGTGGACTGGTTTCACATGGGATCAGTACATATCTTCCCTCTTTGAATACCTGGCAGACATTTTTTTTAAAATCAAGCTTTGGTCAATAATTTACTTTTCCTCCTACTATAGATTAAAGCCTCTTTAGTGCTCTTTTCATGCTCTTTTATGTCAACTGAGGCCTTGAACTATTTCTGTATTTGCACAGGAATCTGACCTTGCCTTACCTTACAGATTACTACAGGAATTGCTACAACAATAAATACTTTCAAAGCTATTCTGTATGCAAAATTTTCTTCCTGAACCTAAACTGATTTGTCTGCATCCAAAATCAATGCATGCACTGGATTTAACAGTTATTCAGTGCTAGTAAAATGGCCTGAAAGCCTCCAGTTCTCTTATTTTTGAAGAACATAAATCCTAATCTCTAAGCATACCTGCTACCTAATTCTTAGAGGAATGCATGCTGAGTTTTGAAAGCAAAGAAGTCAAAGCAGTGTGTGTATATAGACACACACACTCTCCTAAGATAGCTGAACCACTTCACATCAGTTCCACTATAATGTTTTAACCTGTGACATTAAGAACATCATGAAGAGTCACCTGAGAAGGCATACTAGACTGAAGCACAATTTAGGATCACAGACAAGGGGGAAGTGCTTTTTAATTATGGCCATACAGAACTCAGTTTTCAAGGGAAAGGTTGAACAAAGTTGAATTTGGGAGTTGAGTCTTCACAGAAGCTGGAACTTTAGAGGCAGTCAGGTAGACAGCGTGGAGCAAACAGGAATTATCTTCACGCACAAGAATCAGCAGCAGCTTATTTCTAAACAGAAAAATAGATGTGAACGTATTTTGAGTTGCAGCTTCATACTTTCCAAAACAGGTTTTAAAAAGTTTGCCTTTGATTTGCAACATAACCTGGACATATACCTGGGTGTTAAGCAGTTCCTCAATCTTATTCTGGATCTGTCCATACACATCATTAAACAGCTCCTCCTTGGATTTTGTCCCATTCAAATGCACTTAAAGAAAGTAAAACAAGAGAACTATAACAATGTCTCTGTAAGCTTGCCAGATCCTCACTTAAAAAGCATGCACCCAGCTGGTATCAGAGAAATATACTCCCTCCACCTGCCTCACCTCCTCTCATGCATCTAACCAGTAGTATTGCACAGGTTTGAAAAAAATCTCATAAAGTGCTTTTGTCATTAAAGACTTACCCACATCAACTCCAAGTTCTTCCATTATCTTCCTGTGCTTGATGTACATAGGCCAAACGTGGCCATCAAACAATCCAGGTGGATCCGGTACAGTGTAATTCCTTGAACTGTAAGGAATTGTAACAATTAAGGCATTGTTACTCACAAGTACTCCAGTAACAATTCAGGGAAATGACAGATCCTTCATTGGGCTTCTCTACACATTAGCCTGAGCCCATTGACTCCAGTTTGGTTTCTGAGCTTATCAGAATTTTGTAGTTAGCAAGAGCTGCAAGCATCAACTTATGCAAATAAATTGAAATTTGATGTGCAGGGCCAAAGTGATTAAAATGCAAAAAGAGTTCCCAAGACAGACTGATCTAAATACTGATCCATAAACTCTTAAAAGCTTTAGCAGAACTTTGGGTAAATTAGCTGTCTTATTCCTCTTGAAATATAATTCAAGTTTTCATTTGCAGTAAGAACAGTGTATGTGTGCAACAACACAGCCAAATGTAAAAGCTCAGATAGTTTGAGACCTGGGAACTGTGTAACTGGAAAACCAGCATGGGAGAAAACTTAGTGGAAGGTGTGTACAGAAACTGAGTGTTACATACACGACACAACAGCTTGGTGTGAAGTCAGAGGAAGCTACAGTATTGTAACTCAGCAGCTACATTTGCCTCTATCCCATCTCATCTAAAAGCTTCAGAGAAACAAAGTCTTGAATGGCTAATACTAAAGTCTAAATTTTAAACTCTTTGAAAAAATTACTTGAATGAGTTAGATGGTATTGGGCTAGAAATCAGGCAAACTTACCTTCTTCTCCTTTTACACTCTTCATATGGAATGGAAAGAAAGTACCGATGGTGGAACACATCAATCAGTGGCCTGAAAGAGACACCTACTTGATTATACCTCAACTAATTAGAAGCAAAACCCAGAAAAGTAAAACTTTATCTGTTTCCTGTACTTAGAGCCACCTTTAGACTTGTGACTCCTAAACTTGGCAGTAGTCAATGCCAGCTACTAACTCTTGGTTTAGAAATGTCTTTTCATTCCCTTGGAGGTTTGCCCATTACATAAAATGTAAAAATCAGAATGTATGAAGGCACAATTGATTACCTGTAGGTGTAAAGTAGGAAGCCTTCAACAATAAGAATGTGGACTGTTTCATCTCCTCCCTCCTTATCGTCCAAGATCTGGGCATCCAGTGTGTTATTGATCCCATGAGAACGTTCAAACTTGACTGGGTTTTTTATCCAAGCATTTATGGTACTCATCATAGCTTCCATATCTAATGCACTAATCACTAAGACAAAAGAGACAACTCTCATTAAGCAGCAATTAAATATCATCTAGTGATAGAGTCAGTACAAAGCAGTGCACATAAAGAATCAATATACTCTAAGATTTTGAGTTATGCTTTGAAAACACTAACAAAGGCTTACCATCATACTGTTTAAACCCATCTTCAACTTCGATCTCATCTTGGGGCTGAAACAGTAACAAGGAAAAAAAAAAACCAAACCAGCTTGGTCAGGACAACTACTGAGAAGCTCAATACCCGTTTCAAAGCAAAATTCAAGATCCAAACCCTGAAGCTTTCAAGGGGAATCTTAACCCTCCACCAGGTTCCTTTGCGTGCAGATAAAAGGAGCGGTACGATAAAGCCGCGTGCTGCTCTATCTTCCCACGGACACGAGCGCGGAAGCCGCGGGGTCCCGCTCAGCGCAGCCTTATCCGGCCCCGCCGGGAGCGCAGAGCCGCGGGCAGGGCGGCGCAGGGCGGGCAGCGCGCCAGCAGCGCGGGCGGAAGCGCAGGGGGTCACCCCGCGCCCTGCCGCGGCCTGCAGGGGCCGGCGGGCCCGCTCACCTTGAAGAAGTCATCCTGGTGCACCACGCTGCAGTTGGGCAGGGCCCGCATCAGCCGGCGGGTCAGCGTGGTCTTGCCGCCGTTGGTGACCCTGCGGCGAGAGCGCGGCCGTCGGGAAGCGCCACGTGCGACCGGTCCACCCCCCCACCCCCACTGCGGCACCGGGAGGGGCCGGGACGAGAGACCCGCGCTCGTCCCGCGGCCCGAGCCGCCGTCCCCGCCCGGTCCCGGCTCTCACCCGCCGATGCCGATGATGATGTTCATGGCGCGTCCGGCGGCCGCCCGGCCCGACTCCTACTGCCTGTTTCTGAGGGGCGGGGGGGACCCGGTGTCTCCGGTACCGGCCGTCTAGGTGCCTGAGCCGGGACCCGGGCAGAGGGAAGGAAGGGGCCGGAGAAAGAGGAGAAGGTGGAGAGGGGAGAAGCCAAACGTCAACTGCTGGGCAACGCCATGGTCGCTCAGAGCAGCAGCAGGGCCGGTCCGCGCCGCGCCGCGCGCTCCGCAAAGGGGGGCGGTGCCCGCGCGCGCGCGCCTTCCCCTCGTGCTCCGCCGCGCCCATTGGGCGGCCGCCTTCGCCGTGCAGCCAATAGGAAGCGGCGTGACGCGAACGGCTCGCGGCCATTGGCTGGGGCGCGCTCAGTCACGTCCGGCCGTGCTAAAGCGCGACCGCTCGGGGACGCTCGACGGCCTCGCGCCGGGGAAGGGCGGAGGCGGGACCGGTGGGGACGCGGCGCCCCCTGCTGGCTCCGGGCTGCGCGCTCCCCTCCCGTGAGGGCGGAGTTGCGGCAATGCCGGGTGCTCGAGCCGCCGGCGGCTCGGACGGGCCCCGCTCCGGACACCGGCCCGGTTCTGCAGTGAGGAGCTGCGCTGGGGCCGAGAGCGGCCGTGGCTCCCCGTGAGGGCGCGCGAGGCTCCTGAGGGAGCGGCCGGGCGGGAAGGCCGCGAGCGCGGGGGGCGCCCCCTGCCGCTGTCCCGGGCAGCCCCGCCAGCATCGCTGGGTCAAGGTCACGGCGCGTCCTCGGGCCAGGCCGGGGCCTCGGGAGGCTCGGGGAACACCGACGGTGAAAGCCACACCGAGGGATTCTGTCCTGCAGCCCTCTCTAAATGGGAGCTATTCCTGCTTTTCCTGCTGCCCTCATAGGCTTTTCCTTGGCCGTCGTGTTTGCTCCTCTGCTGTGCCTGAGGAACTCTGCCTTTTCTTGTTAAGGCTTTTTTTCCTTCTGTAAAGAAGGGAAATTTATGATCATAGCTTTTTTTTAGTAACAGTGAATTTCATAATTTACAAGCCACTTAATCCGTTCAACATGTTTACATTATTGTCGATGTGTTGCCAACCATTTGCTTGTTTTTCTTTGTTTTTACTGGTTTTTCTGGTAAAACTGCAAGCAAACCTTAGTTGATTTCTCTTGCAGTTGTTTTAACTTCCACACAGAACACATACTTTGGTCTCTTGGCATTTCTTCTTATTTTAAGGACAACAGACACTTAGTCGAAAATAAATTTTTATTTTCAAGATTAAGGTAATTTAGCTCATTTTCACTTTTAAACAGAGGGACTGCCTTTGTGGTTTGGGGGGTTTTATGTGTGAGGAGGTTTTTTGGTGTTTCTTTATTTTTGGTTGGTCGGTTAGGTTTTGAAGAATTATTTTTTAAATCTCTGTCTACTTAGCTTTGGGAAGAAGGGTGTCCTCAGAGAGTACATCCCAATTTCTTAGGTTAAAAATCCTACACAGGTAGGATTCTAAAATCCTGCACAGGTAAAACCTTATTCTCAGCTTTCTGCAAAGCTCCAGGCAGGTAGACCAGTATATAAATTTATGATACATAGTGGCATTATTATTATATAGTTTGAGGAATGCATCCCTGTAATCTGTGTTTTACATACACTGGTAAAATCAGAATGCTATTTACAGGCAGCTAAGTTCACTCTATAGCAGCTTTTAGCTGTTTTGGCCCCAAGGTTCTTCCAAATTCTTAATAATTGTTTTGTACTCTTCACCTTTTTACCAAGCAAGATGCACTCTCCAAACTTCATTCTCAAAACTAATGCAAGTTTTGCTGTCTTTTGCCACACCTTGTCATTCAAATACGTAAACGTACAACAGTTTGAGGATTTTAACATGATGTTGATGTCAAGTGAGCAAAGGAGGGATAATGAACAAATTAGAAGCCTGGTGGTTTTTAGAAAGGCACTTAGGCTGAAATACACTGCTCCTTGCATGAACTCGGTACTGACAGAGCTGGAATGAAGTGGGCCCAGCAGTAATCCCAGTTTAACACTGTTGTAGGGCAGGGGGGTGGCAGCCTGAGACAATATTCACTAACTGTACCCTCATTGTCCTGCACTAACAGCTCGAGGCAAGTACTTTGCATGATCTGTCCTTCAGTCTGAAGGCCAGCTGGGAAGAATAAATATGTTTAGTGATGTTATTTACCAACACTACCATGTGTCGCCCCTGTCTATGTAA